CATCAGGAGGAGCACCAGCCGCAGCGGCATCGTCGTCATCAGTATCATCTATATTCGTCGTCATCGTCATCAGCAGCATCATAATCGTCAGCAGCAGCTGCAACAGCAGCAGCGTAAGCATCAGTATCGGCACCGTCAACGTCACCACCACCACCACAACCACCACCACCAATCCCATCAGCAGCAGCAGTAACATCACCAATAGCATAAGCATAACCATCGACCACGAAATCAACCATGTTACTTGTGGTCGCTCTTATCTGCGCACGTGTCACTCAACATGTATGTCCCAAACCATGGATACCCGCCTCGTCTTCGAACGTACCCCCCTAGGGGGTAGATCTTCCGTACATGCCTCGTGTAGTTGGCGCAGTCCCTGTAGCAATGGAAGGGAGGGAGGAGGGACAGGGAGGGGAGCAGGGGGGGGGGGAGACAAGGACAAGGAGAGGAGGAGGGACAGGACAAGGAGAGGACGAGGGAAGGGAGAGGACAAGGAGAGGAGGAGTAAAAGGGGGGGAGGAGGAGGGACAGGGAGGGGGGAGTAGGGGAGCAGGAAGTGAGGAGGGACAAGAAGAGGAGGATGGACAAGGAGGGGAAGAAGGATGGAGCACGAGGGGGTTGGGAGCAAAAGAACACGCGGCCAGACGGGCGGGTCGGGCGGGCGGACCCTAGCAGGCGGGTCGGACGGGCGGGCCCAGACGGCCAGGTCGAGCGGGCGGGTCGCTGAAGTGTCAGTCCCGCATGGGTCGAGGGGAAGTCTCGAGCGACAGCGCGATTCCCGAGGCAATCAGTCCACGGCGAGAGCGTGATTCCGAAGTGTCGAGGGCGCGGCGCCTCAACAAATTGCAAGGAAGCCCCACGCGAGAGCAAGCGTTCCCTTGTAAAAAACAGGGTGCGAGCCCCTGGAGGGCACTCCAATAGAAAAAAACAACGGGCAATGGAAGGGGGATCGACAATCTCTACGATTTGGGAATTGAAAATCGAAAACATCAACATCGACAGCAGAGCATCACCGCCATCATCATCAGCAGCATCACCCTCGTCATCCTCATCACCAGCAGCCTCAGCGTCGGCATCGTCCTCAGCATGTTCACCATCAGCATCACCACCACCAACATCATCATCATCATCATCATCATCATCATCACCACCACCATCATCATCATCATCGGCAGCATCAGCAGCATCATCATCAGCAGCATCAGTATAGTCATCGTCATCGCAATCATCCTCATCAGCAACATCATTTGCAGCAGCAGCATCATCGACGACATCATCATCACCCGCATCATCGCCCTCATCAGAATCAACATCATCATCATCATCATCATCAGCATCATCATCATCAGCATCATCATGATCGACATCAGCATCATCATCAGCATCATCCTCATGATCATCATTATCAGCATCATCCTCATCATTATAGTCGTCATCGCCGTCATCCTATTAATCGGCACCGTCCTCATCAGCAACATCAACATCAATAGCCCATCAGCATCAAAATCCGCAGCACCAGCAGTCACGTCACCTGTATCATGAATATGACCACCATCGCCATCATGATAGACATAATCGTATACGTTACCATCCGCATCATCGTCAACATCCGCGTAATCGTCGTCGTAGTTATCCACATCCTGAGCATCAGCATGGCCATCAAAAACATCATCAGCATCACCATCGCCATCACCACCACAGGCATCATCCCCGTCGACAGCATCAGCATCATCATCAGCAGCATCATGATCAGCAGCATGATCATCATCCTGATCGTCGTCATCAGCAGCAGTATCATCATCATCAGCGTCACCCTCATCATCATCATCATCATCATCATCAGCAGCAGCAGCATCATCATCAGCATCATCAGCATCATCCTCCTCATCATCAGCATCATCATCACCACCATCATAGGCGTCAGCACCATCTTCGTAATAATCGGCATCGTCCCCATGCGCAACATCAACAACACTATGATCATCAACATCAGCTGCAACAGCAGCAGCAACAGCCCCGTCATCTGTATCACGAATATAACCGTCATCGCCACCATGTTAGACATAATCGTATACGTCACCATCCGCATCATCATCAACATCAGCGTAATCGTCGTCGTAGTCATCCACATCCTCAGCATCAGCATAGCCATCACCATCAGCATCAGCATCATCACCATGTTCATCACCATCATCATCATCATCATCATCATCATCATCATCATCAGCATCGTCATCATCATCTCCGTCGACAGCATTAGCATCAGCATCAGCATGATCAGCAGCATGGTCATCAACATGACCATCGTCATCATCATCAGCATCACCCCCATCATCGCCATCATCATCATCAGCAGCATCAGCATCAGCATGCGTATCATCATCGGCCTCAGCCTCGTCATCATCATCAATCACCCCCTCCTCCTGCTACTCATACTCCCCCTCCTCGGCCTCATCCTCATGCGTCTCCGCCTCCTCCTCCTCCTCATCATCATCCTCAGCATCATCATCCACCTCTGCCTGCTCATCCTTCTCCTTATGTTCCTCCGTATCATCATCCGCATCCTGAGCATCGCCTGTATCATCGAGTTTCGCCTCGCCTCCCTCCTGCTCCTCTTGCTCTGGCTTCTCCTCCGTGTCCTGCCCATCCTCCTCATCGTCGTCCGTCTCATCCTCCTTCTCATCACCAGTAGCAGCAACATCATTATTATCCTCGTCTTCATCATCCGTGTCGTTCCCCACGCCTCATTCTCGCACGACGAATCCTACTTGTCCGTGTTATGTTCCTCTCGGTCTCCCCCATCCCTCCGTCGCAACCTCCTCTACCTCCGACTCGTCCGCATCATCCCCCTTCGGCGGATTGTTCCTCCTCATCCTGCTCCTCCTCATCCTCTTAAGCATCCCCCCCGTCAATTCAGATCCGCAATACCTCATGCAAAACATATCTGACCGTCGCAACAGCAGCGGTGGACCAGGCGTTTCGCGTGAGACCCCCTGACAAAGCATGATCCTGAAGCTTGACTGTTCCGACGGCGGCACAAATAGAGGGAGAATCAGGATAGCTCTCGCCTCAGCGCCGCGCAAACAAGTGGCACGTGTGCCAAGGCTCTTGCACAAAAAGGAAGGGGGAGGAGGAGGAGGTGGAGGAGGGGGGAAGAGGGGACAAGACATCGCCCCTCGGGGCCCAACAACGGGGCCCAAATCCCAAGTGGGGAAGGGGGGGAGGTGGTGTGCGTCGCGACGCGGAATAAAGTGCTAGGAGCGGAGGGGGCACGGGGCGGAGGTCCCACTGGGGCGCTGGGGGCGCGGAGAGGAGGGGGGGAGGTGGTGTGCGTCGCGACGCGGAATAAAATGGTCGGGGCGGAGGGGGCACTGGGCGGGGCTTGGGGCAGAGGCCACGGGGCGGGGGTCCAACTGGGGCGCTGGGGACGTGGGAGAGGGGGGGAGGTGGTGTGCGTCGTGTCGCGGAATAAAATTGTCGGGGCGGAGGGGGCACGGAGCGGAGCCCCCACTGGGGCGCTGGGGACGCGGGGAGGGAGGTGGGGAAAGTGGTGTGCGTCGCGACGCGGAATAAAGCGTTCGTGGCGGAGGGGGCAGTGGGCGGGGCTCCCGCTGGGGTACTGGGGGCGCAGGGGGGCTCGGGGCAGAGAGCCACGGCGCGGGGGTCCCACTCTGGCGCTGGGGACGCAGGGGGGTGTGCGACGCGGAATAAAGTGGTCGGAGCTCTAAACACCCTGTGCAAGAGAATAAGCCCTCAATATGGGTGGAGGGGGGGGGTGAAACATGTGGATCTCGCTTTAGCGCCGCACCCATCCGTCTTCAGTGTCCCTGAGCGGGTGCGGACGGTTTCAAAAGTTCGATTCCGCACACATTCATGTTCAAAGCGGGCAACAGCTATACGTATTGAGCACGGCTGAAAGTCAAAATGAAGACATGTAGACTGGTGTGGCAATTACACGGATGGAGGGCGGCTCGTTTTGAAAATGTCGAAAACGGGAGGGGCCTCCTGAAAATTGGTTAACAGCAAAATTGCACAACCAGGTCACAATGTACAAGCGCCCTCTTGTCAAGACTGGGCTCTGGCCGGGCACTGGTTTGAATTGTATTGTCTGGCCTCTTCGAGCGCAATGTAACTAGAAAGATGGATAGCTGCCATTGTTCAAAACGGGGCTCTCGCGAATGGCAAGCCCACGGGGGCGCTCTTATATCACGCCTCGCCCCCAGTCAGAAGGCAGTGCTGTATGAAAGTAGGGGAAGAGGCTTGGAAGAGCGCGTGAAATGATGGATTGCGAAGCCAATCAACTCGAGCATGTGTGCTTGCAAGACGTGTGAAAGGAAAGCTTGAAAGCGTGAAAGCGTAGATGCTTGGAGAAAGCCAGAGAGACACAAGTGTAAAAATTGGGCAGCGGCGACGAAAGCTTGCAAGGTTAAAGCTTTCACGACGGAGGAGGAGCAACACAACGATGAGGCTGGAAACCACCAGAGGGAGCCCCACGGAGCTCATGGAGCGAGGGTGGAAGAGCACCAGCGAATGTGCTGCAGCTCGATGGGGGCTCCATGAACTTCTGTGTTTGGCTGGCGCGGTAGACCCTTAGACGCACGAGAAAGCAAAGAACAGCTCACAGTGACCAGGACTGGAAACACTCACCCCCCGAGAGCGCGAGGTGGGGCGGGGGGGGCGATTCAGCATAAGAGAAACGACCGCGCCGACGGGATGAATTGCAGCGACGCTGCGCCACAAAACGACGCAGCGCCTCGAGGAGAAGGACACTGCTCCACGGAACGGCCTCGGCGGCAAGAAGTCGTGGGACAAAAACGATCACGGGACAACTCGCCGCCAGGGCCCCGCCGCCAGCCCAAGCGGCGAGCACAAATCGTACGCAGCCCTGAAGAACCTGACAGGGGTGTCTGCCACCCCCACAAGGCGCGTTCCATGGGCCGTGCCGTAGTTATCATGCATTCTCATGTCATCCTCCTCCTCCTCCTCCTCATCCTCCCCGCCCTCTGCGCCTTGAGCGAGACGTCGTCCGTCACCACGTGGGACGAGTTGTCGGCCTGGCCGAAGCCGCCAGCGTTGTTGCTGTTGTGAGTCGTCGAGGGGTTCACCCTTGACGTCAGGAAGCGCGCCTCGCGGGCCAGAGGATGATCGGGGGAGGGAGGGGGGCGAGCAGAGGCGGGGATCTGCGACTGTACCCTTGGCTGTGAGGAACATGCGCTTTACAACTATGGCATGTGATGTTCATTTCTGGAAGTGCTAAATCACTTTGGACGTTGGGTCCAGGTCTCGCTCACGACCGTGAATGGGCAGATTTGAAGTAAACGGCGCCAAAATCTGAAGGGCACAGCACTATACGATACAAGCAAGATCCAAGGAGGAGGAAGAGGAGGAGGAGGAAGAGGGAGGTATGGAGAGGAGGAGGAGCAGCAGGAGGGGGAGGGGGAGGGGGAGGGCGGCGTCGGTACGACTCTTTCGCCATCAGCGTATCAGCATATCAGAAGGTGGAGCGAGTAGGAGAGGGAAGAGGGTCGGATCGGATCGAGCATGGCATGAAGGAGTCCAGCCATCTGGCGCCTCGAACACATGGCTTAGCAGCGCTTGTCTTTGGAGCGGCCAGTGTCGGGCCTCTTGACTGTCAAGAAGCGCCTCGGGTCGAAAAACTGGCCCTCGGGAAGGGGTCGAGAGGTCTGGGGGGCCCACACATCAAAAGCATCGGAGCGCCAGGTGTCCGTGAGGAGGGGTGAGGGAGGAGGGCCGGAGGAATCAGCGTCAAATATGTAAATCGGGTCGGATCGAATCGTGCATCGGATCGACCCGCGTCGGCACGGAGTCGGAATCGAATTGAATCGGCCGCGCCGAGACGCACAACAGCACCATGCAAATATCCAGCTGCATCGGATCGTCGGAATTATCGGAATCGAATCGATTCAAGCCGGCCAAAATCGATGTCGAATCGGATCGATCGGATCGAAATGGACCCTGGAAGACAAGGGAGAAGGGGAGAAGGGAGGAGGAGAAGGCTTTTAGGCGGTCCTGCAAAGCATTCAAGGGGGCTGCAAGTGTCTCAGGGCCTCTAGGGGTTCGAGGAAGAGGAGGAGCACCAGCAGCAGGAAATGTCGCGATGGAAAAAATGCAGGCCAGGACGGAGGAGCAGGATGAGGAGGACGAGGACCATAGTAAACCCAAAATGTATCAACGATACTGCGATACACATCCCTCCTCATCCTCATCCTCATCCTTCTCCTCGTCCTCCTCCTCTTGGTGCCATTGTAACGTACAGTATTTGCCGCATGGAGCGCTTCCCCGGACGGTCAACACGCCTCGTCTCACCTGTTTCTGCCAACGCACCTTGAACGTGCATGGCGCGCATGCCTGCTTGCCTCCGATGCACCCTCCTGCCCCAAAGGTCCCCTCCTCGCAAGTCCCTACAAGCAGTCTTCTTTATTGCGCGAAGCGTCGCCCTGCTTAGATCGAACATCACGTTTTTTTGTGCGACTACTGGTTGTCAAAAAAGAAAGTTAAGAAAATGGAACACCACACTTTTTCCCCAACCATCCTGTGGTGTTGGGTCCTCGTTTTGAAGAGACAGCGCCACGCGTCCCTCCTCCTCCTCCTCCTCCTCCTCCTCCTCCTCTACTCCTTCCCCTCCTCCCTCCCTCCTCCCATCATCATCATCATCATCATCATCATCATCATCAGCAGCAGCATCATCATCATCATCAGCATCATCATCATTATCATCATCATCATCATCATCATCATCATCATCATCATCATCATCATCGCCATCGTCATCATCATCGTCAGCAGCAGCAGCATCATCAACATCATCATCATCATCATCATCATCATCACCACCACCATCATCATCATCAGCAGCAGCAGCAGCAGCAGCATGCATCATCATCATCATCATCAGCAGCAGCAGCATCATCATTATTGTGTTTGCATGGTGCGTACATATGCCTCCGCCCTTCCCTTCAGCCCCGCTTTGCTCTCTGCCCAACGCCCGCTGCAGCCATATCCTGCTGGGGCTGGCTTATCCCCGTTCCTCCAGATTCCGAACCCAGAACCTACCAGTAACATCCTCTCATCCTCTACCCTCCCCCCCTCACACGTTCACTGCGAGCGCCTGATTATGTTGCGTGCTGTACAAGTGGGAGTTGGGCCTACTGTGAAGAGCACGTGATATCACATCATCACGATCAGTGGCATTCACAGTGGTAGCGGAGCCGGTGAGATCCACTGGCTCCCAGGAACGCCATGCTGGGCGAGGACGGTGCCGATGGTGAGGAGAGCACGCAGACTTTCGGCAAGGACAAGGACCCACCGCCCGGGCACGATGGCGTCAAACCAGAGAGTACGTACAAAGTGCGGAAGAAGGAGCTCAAGCTGTGGGTCACGACCACGGACATCCCAAAGGTAAAGTGGGGTGCGAAGCTGACGCGCAGGCTGACCGGCGGCGCGAAGGAGGCCATCGCGGACATGAAGTTGAGGAGATCACGTCCGTCCGAGGACGGGCTGGACAATATCACTCAGATTCTGGACGAGGCGTTCGCGCCGTACCTGGAGCAGACTATGCCGCGGGCGTTCGCGAAGGCTGTGTACACGTCCCACCGCGATAAGGGCCAGTCGATGTTAGAGTATACGCTGGCGGTGGTTGGCAGGTTCAATGAGTTGCAGCGTGAAGGTGTGTTGCTGCCGGCAGAGGCGCGCCGTTACATCATGATGCGGCACGCGAAGCTCGGAGACAAGGGCGAGGACATGATCAAGACCTGGACCGCTGGGAGCTTCAGAGAGGAAGAGGTGATCAAAGCACTTCGACGACTGGACAAGCTGACCACGGACAAGGGAGACCGCCAGTTCTTCGGCGAACACGGCAACATTGAGCAGAATGAGGCCGAGAACTTCCCGTCGACGAAGGACAGCGATGGGCAGGACGACGAGGAACACATCTACGTCTTCGAGGACGACCTGTGGGAGGTGCACGAGGAGGACGACGTCACTACGGCGCTGGCGTCCTACCAAGCGGTGCCTGAATCGCTTCGCCAGGAGAAGAACCGCCGTGGCTTCCACAAGGGCGGCAAGAGCGGCGGGGAGAACAAGGGCGGCGGCCACCAGTCTCCGCCTGCGCCAGAGGCCCGGTTTGGCAACAGCGCGAAGTACAAGGACGGACAGGGCAGGAAGGTCAGGGTGCACATCGACGTGATCAAACTACGTAACAAGTGTGCGCGCTGCGGACAGGTGGGCCACTGGGCGAAGGACGGCTCCAACCCGCCGGACGCTCGTGGGGCTGCTGCCGCAGCAAAGCACAAGACCGGCTTCTTCGCAGGTGCGATGTCACACAGCGAGGAGATCAGCCCGGCCAGCGAGGGAGAGTTTCTCGAGTGCGAGTCGAAGTATGTACATCACATCGATCCTCATCGAGACCCTGAAGCCTCAAGGGAGCCTTGTCGGGACCATCATCTGGGACGTCTCGGAGACCGGCCAGTGCTGGTTTATGTGCTGGGAGCTCCTGGGAGTGAAGAGCGGGGAGATGTCGATCTTGGGTGCTTGTCAAGGGTTCAGGAGAAGCTGGAGCGAGGTCCTCAGCGGGATCTCAATTCTAAGGAGGAGCGCGAAGCTGAATGTGGGGAATCCGAGCCGTGGTGTGGCTTATCACTTGGGGATGGAGAGGCTCTCGTGGACACTGCGGCCCAACAGGGCCTGATTGGGACGGAAGCTCTTCAGCAACTCGCCTGTGCACTACGTGAACGAGGACTCAAATTCAAGTGGGTAAACAAGCCAGCCCGAGCCCAAGGAGTAGGAGGTAAAGCACGTACGGTAGGAGTTGTGGTCACGCCGTTTGGGATCGGAGGTGCCCATGAGCTTCTGGAGCTCACCGTTGTAGGCAACGTTCCGATGCTGCTGCCAGTGAAGATTCTTAACAAGTTTGAGGCCATTGTGGACCTCGATGCGATGAAGCTGCTCCTGAGACGAGCGGGCTCTGAGGTCCAAATGAGAGAGGTTGACACGGGACACGTGGCAGCATCGGTTGTTGAGCTCCTCCCCCCCTCCGCGTTGTCCTCCGCCCCCCAGTACTTCTCGATGGCATGAGGAGGAGGCGGAGGAGGAGGAGGAGGAGGAGCGGGTGGAGGAAGAGGAGGAGGAGGAGGAGGAGGAGGAGGAGAGGGAGGAGAGGGAAGAACGGGGACGGAGGTAACGGAGAAGGAGGAGGACGCGAGGAAAGGGGGGAGGATGGAGGAGCGCGGAATGGGAGGGAGGAGGGATGGGAGGGGGGAGGAGGGGGGGGACAGGCACGGAGGGAGGAGGGAAGGAAAGAACGAGGACGACGACGATAACAATGACGAGGAAGAGGGAGGAAGGGGGAAGCCGACGTCTGCCACCGCGCCTGCGAACCACCCGCGTTCGTTTGGACGAACCTGGGCGCCGGGAATCGCTCATTCAGGATCTGCTTGGCGTCCTCCGCGGGCGCAACGAGCAGCGCCTTGAAGTTGGCGTACTCCTCCTTGTCCTGCGGGGAGAGTGAAAACATCCTCCTCCGCCTTGTCCTCCTCCTCCTCCTCCTCCTCATCCTCCTCATCCTCATACTCATCCTCATCCTCATTCTCCTCCTCATCCTCCTCCCCTTTCTCCTCCTCCTCCTCCTCCTCATCATCATCATCATCATCATCATCATCATCAGCAGCATCAGCATCAGCATCAGCACCATCATCATCATCATCATCATCATCATCATCATCATCATCCTGCTCCTCCTCCTCCTTCTCCTCCACCTCCTCCTCCCACTCCCCTTCCCCATCCTCCACCATGTTCATCCTCCCTCCCCGTCTCCCTCCTCGATCTTTCACCTCCTCCATCTCATCTTCTTCACGCCTCCCTCCATTCCTTCTCCTTATAGACACCTTCTCCCTGTCGCACCCCGAAGCCAGTTTTTACGGCGGGCCGTGCGCTCCGCCTGAGAATTCCTCACCATGTATGACTCTGAAGCTCAAAAAGTGGCAACAGTTTCACAGATGGAGGGCGGGTCGTTTTCATAATGTGGCTCTCGCCTTAGCATCGCGCACATTCGCTTTGAACATGTACCAGAATTTCACGGATGAAGGGCGGGTTTTTTCAAAATGTGGCTCTCGCCTTGGCGCCGCGCACATTCGTTTTCCAAATTTGCAAGAGCTTCACGGATTGAGGGCGGGTGGTTTTCAAAATGTGGCTCTCGCCTTACCGCCGCGCACATTCATCTTAAATTTGCAAGAGTTTCACGGATTGAGGGCGGCTCCTTTTCAAAATGTGGTTCTCGTCATAGCGCTGCCAGGGTTTCACGGATTCCCATCATCAACCTACCAGAACTGGTGCTTTGGAAGGGTTCAGGGTTATGCGGGTGCAACTGTCACGTTGGTTCTCTGTGTTGAAGTCATAGGGATGGAGTTCTGGCACGATTCGGGATCGTCAAGACGCAGCAGTCAGGTTGATACGTGGCGTTGAAATCCCGAGAACAATGCTGTGGCATGCTTCAGGATCTTCAAACGGGTGTCTTCCAACGAGGCACCCCCCTCAATGAAAATGAACCGTGTAGGGCCTATGAAAGGAAGCTCAGAGGGAGGGTTAATTCCGACATCGTTGATGAGTCTTGGGCTTGCATTGGTCCTCCTACTCCTCCTCCTCCTCCTCCTCCTCCTCCTCCTCCTCCTCCTCCTCCTCCTCCTCCTGATGACCTTGAAACTTACACGTTGGCAACAGCGTCACATATGCAGGGCGGGTTGCTTGCAAAATGTGGTTCTCGCCTTAGTGCCGCGCACCTTCGTCTTGGAAACTTGCCAAAATTTCACGGATTGAGAGCGGGTGATCTTGAAAATGTGGCTCTCGCCTTAGCGCAGCACACATTCTTCAGAAAAATGCCAGATCTTCACGGGTGGAGGGCGGTTCCTTTTCAAACTGTGGCTCCCGCTTTAGCGCCGCACACATTCGTTTTAAGAACCTGCAAGAGCTTCACGAACGGAGGGTGGGTCGTTTTCAAAGTGTGGCTCTCGCCTTAGCGCCGCGCACGTTCGTCTTGAGAGGTTGCAAGAGATTAACGGATTGAGGGCGGCTGGTTTTCAAAATGTGGCTCTCGCCTCAGCGCCACGCACATTCGTTTTAAGCATCTGCATAAGTTTCACGGGTTCCCATGGTCAACGTACCAGAAAGGGCGTTCTGGAACGATTCAGACTTGTTAGGGCGCAACAGTTACGTTGATTGGCGGTGCTGAAATCCCAAGAATGGTATTCTGGCAGGATTCAGGATCGTCAAGACGCAACAGTCACGTTGATTCGCGGCGTCGGAGTCCCGAGAATAGCGTTTTGGTACGCTTCATGGTTTTCAAGCGGTTGTCTACAAACGGAGCGCGTCCCTCAATTGGAAAGGCTCCTTGTAGGGGCCTACGAATAGGAAGTTTGAAGGAGGGTTTACTCCAATATCGCTGGTGAGTCTTGAGTCTACACTGGTCTTCCTCCTCCTCCTCCTCTTCCTCCTTCTCCTCCTCCTCCTTTTCCTCCTCCGCCTCTTACTCCTCATCGTCTTCTTCCTCCTCCTCCTCGCATCATCCACCTCCACCTCATCATCCTTCTCATCCTCCTCCTCCTCCTCCTCCTCAGCCTCCTCCTCCTCATCCGCTGCCTCCTCCTTCTCCTCCTCCTTTTCCTTTTCATCCTCCTCCTCCTTCCCTTCCTCCTCCTCCTCCTCCTCCTCCTTCTCTTCCTCATTCTCCTCCTCCTCCTCCTCCTCCTCCTCCTCCTCCTCCTTCTCCTCTCCTTCTTAGTAATACTATTATGAATAGTATTCCTCATCCTCTTCCTCCTCCTCCACCTCCTCCTCATCCTCCTCCTCCTCCTCCTCCTCCCCCTCCTCCTCCTCCCCCTCCTCCTCCTCCTCCCCTCCCTCCTCCTCTTCGTCCTCCTCCTCCTCCTCCTCCTCCTCCTCCTCCTCCTCCTCCTCCTCCTCCTCCTCCTCCTCCTCCTTATCCTCTCCTCCTCCTCCTCCTCCTCCTCCTCCACCTCCTCCTTCCCCTCCTCCTCCTCCTCCTCCTCCTCCTCCTCCTCCTCCTCCTCCTCCTCCTCTTCCTCCTCCGCATCCTCCGCATCCTCCTCTGCATCCTCCTCCGCATCGTTCATGTCCCGGCGTTCCGAGAGAGGGCGGCCGACACGGCCGCCCAGGACAGGCCTCGAGGACGACATCCGAAGGCCCCTCTCTAGGAATCCTCGCGGCGCTGGCCGAAAGAGTCCGCCGAACTCCAGAGGTTGATTCGACGGCGCGCCCGGGGGGGAAGTGAGGGGGGACAGGACTTCTCAAATAGCGGCGATGCTTTTCCGAAGCCATCTGGGAAAGCTCCGAAAAAATATCAGAAGGCCCGAGGCCGTCCGAGCCTTCTGAGAAGGCCCACCCCCTCTGCATTCCCCATAGACTCGCCGCCGATTGATGGAGCTCGACAACGAGCTCCCGAGGATGATCAGGCCACCGTGCGCGGGACGCTGAGAAAAAGCAAGCGACGGGACGCACCCGCTGCGAATTGAGGCACAGGGGCGCACGCGGGTGGCAGTCCACCCACACACACACACACACACACACACAAATGAAATGACTGAAAAAACACAACCACTGACGCACTCCCAGGGCGAACCCTCCACAACAGCAGCCCCTGGAGCTTGGCGACGAGCTCCCGAGGACGATCAGGCATCGTGCGCGGGAGGCTCCGGCGCTTTCTGGGTATCCCTGCCGGCGCGCACCGCGCCCTCGCGGTGCGCGACGCACGGGTCGTCTCCGCGCCCCAGCGCCGCGCGCCGCACCCCAGGAGAACGGGGGCCGATACCCACCAAAATGCCCGACCAAAGATCACGACGAAGATCTTTGGATGATTGGCCTCGCACCATTGCCTGGCCCAGGGGCCGTCAAGAAGCGACGCAGGAATAAAGGCCAGCCCCAGGGAATGGGTCGAGACTTCTGGGGGTCGACGTCATGAAAAAACATGACGTCGGGATCTGTTCTTCTTTTTTGGGGGTATGCACTTCAGCCCACAATCCACCACTTCCGCCACCAAGCACGCGCCCGCCCCACCAGCGCCACCCTCTGCCGGCCAGCGCCCACGCCGCCTAGGCCGGCAGCTGCCCAGGTCCACGCCCGTAGAGCAGCCGCAGGGCTGCGAACAGGGCCGGACCGCAGGCTGGCGCGCGCCCAGCAGCGGGGAGGAGGGAGGATGGAGGACGAGGGAGGATGCGGGGGAACCCGACATCCGGGCGTGGCACTTTTTGCATAGCGGGCGAGGTTGCCTCATTTCGGGCCTGGGGACCCTCCTGGATCGGTCTGGCTCGAAGTGCAGCAGAGAGATGGGGTCCAGGGCTCTGGTCGGGCTTTGCTTTACTAAAGCGGCCCAGGGACATACAAGTAGATAGACACGAATCCCAGGATTCCCCAGATGCTCCCACATATATCTATATATATATATATAGATATATTATGAGTTCTCGTCTTCCCCCCCAGCTCCCATAATTTCCCATATTTTGCAAGGAATCGACGTTTAATTGTGTCTGTGTGTTTCCCCCTCCTGATTTACGATGTTGCCATTTGTCCGTGACGCCGGACTGCAGGGCCTTCTGATGCCCACCAAGACCGGGGCCCCACGCGGGCCGCCTCCAGATGCCCCGCATAGCCGAAAATGATGGCGTGCCACCTCCTCCTCCCCCGCTCTCCGCCGAGCGTCCATCAGCTGCGAGCCTGGGGGGAGAATAGAAGAAGCGGGGCTCCTCAGAAGGCTCGGAAGCCCGGCCGCCTTCATATCAGCCTTCCCCGAAAGCGCAGAGAAAACTTCTCGAAATGCGCGAAGGCATCTGAAAAGTCCTGCAGCCATCTGCGAACATCTCCTCCTTCTCCTCCTCCCCCGCTCTCCGCCGACCGTCCACCACCGGCTTCCGCCTCCTCCTCCTCCTCCTCCTCCTCCTCCTCCTCCCCCTCCGCCTCCTCCTCCTCCTCCTCCTCCTCCTCCTCCTCCTCCTCCTCCCCCTCATCCCCCTCCTCCTCCTCCTCCTCCTCCTCCTTATCCTCCTCGTCCTCGTCCTCCTCCTCCTCCTCCTCCTCCTCCTCCTCCTCCTCCTCCTCCTCCTCCTCCTCCTCCTACTACTCCCTCCTCCTTCCTCCCTCCTCCCTCCTCCCCTCCTCCCTCCTCCCTCCCTCCTCCTCCTCCCTCCTCCCTCCCTCCTCCCTCCTCCTCCTCCCTCCCCCTCCTCCCTCCTCCCTCCTCATTCCTCCCTCCTCCTCCTCCCTCCCTCCTCCTCCTCCTCCTCCTCCTCCTCCTCCTCCTCCTCCCCTCCTCCTCCTCCTCCTCCTCCTCCTCCTCCCTCCTCTCCTCCTCCTCCCTCCTCCTCCTCCTCCTCCTCCTCCTCCGCCTCCTCCCTCCTCCTCCTCTCCTCCTCCTCCCCTCCTCCTCCTCCTCCTCCTCCTCCTCCTCCTCCTCCTCCATCCTCTCCTCCTCCATTCCTTCTCCTCCTCCATTCCTTCCCTCCTCCTCCCCTCCTCCTCCTCCTCCTCCTCCTCCTCCTCCTCCTCCTCCTCCTCCTCCTCCTCCTCCTCCTCCTCCTCCTCCTCCTCCTCCTCCTCCTCCATTCCTTCTCCTCATAGATAACTCCTCCCTTTCGCACCCAGAGGCCAATTTTTAGGGCGGGCCGGGCGTTTCGCCTGAGATTTCCTCACCATTTATGACCGGGAAGCTTAAAAAGTGCAACAGCTTGACAGATGGAGGGCGGGTCGTTTTCAAAATGCGGCTCTCGCCTTAGCGCCGCGCACATTCGTTTTAAACATATACAAAAGTTTCACGCATTGAGGGCGGGTCGTTTTCATGATGTGGCTCTCGCCTTAGCGCCGCGAACATTCGTTCTAAACATGTACAAGAGCTTCACGGAGTGAGGGCGGGTTGTTTTCAAAATGTGGCTCTCGCCTTGGCGCCGCGCACATGATTTGCAAAAAGTTGCAAGAGTCACGGAGTGAGGGCGGGTCGTTTTCAAAATGTGGCTCTCGCCGTGGCGCCGCGCACATTCGATTCAAAAATGTGCAAGAGCTTCACGGATTGAGGGCGGTTCCTTTTCAAAATGTGGCTATCGACTCAGCGCCGCGCACATTCGTTTTAAAAGCTTGCACGAGTTTCACGGATTCCCATGATCAACGTATCAAAAAAATATGTTGGAAAGATTCAGAGAATGCGGGTGCAACAGTTATGTTGATTCACGGTGTTGAAATCCAAGAAAAGGCGTTATGGCACGATTCCGGATCGCCAAAACACAGCTGTCAGCTTGATACGTGGCGTTGAAATCCCGAGAACAATGTTTTTACATGCTTTAGGATCTTCAAGCGGTTGTCTTCCAACGAGGCAGTTCCCTCGATGGGAATAGACCGTTGTAGGGGCCTGTGAAGAGGGAGCCTGGAGGGAGGGTTAATTCCAGCATCGTTGATGACTCTTGGGTTTACACTGGTTCTTCTCCTCCTCCTCCTCCTCCTCCTCCTCCTCCTCCTCCTCCTCCTCCTCCTCCGTCCACCGGCTTCCGCCAGCGGACCCGCCGCTGCTGTGCTTCCGCCCTCCCCCGCCAGCGTTCCGCCGCCGCCGCCGCCCAAAGAGGACGAGGCGCCCCGAGGGCGAGGAGGAGGAGGAGGAGGCGGAGGAGGAGGTGGAGGAGGTGGAGAAGGAGGAGGAGGAGGAGGAGGGAGGAGGGAGGAGGAGGAGGAGGAGGGAGGAGGGAGGAGGAAGAGGAGGAGGAGGAGGGAGGAGGAGGAGGCCTCGCCCCCTCGCCCCCCCCGCAGCAGCAGCAGCAGCACCCATGCGCCTCAACTCGCGCCACTACACTACCCACCACGCCCGAGGCCGCCGATGGGGAGCCTCCCTGGGAGCGCCCCCAGGACGCGCACACAGAGGCTCGAGGGTGGCAGTGCAGAACGCGCGAGATCGGAGGAACGCAGACTTCAACATGGCCATGTCACACATATCGACATCGCGACTGCCCGCGCTCCCGAGCCGCATCCCTGCTGGGAGTTGAATTCCGAGCGGCCACGCACGCGCGCGCGCGCGAGCGCGCGCATACCGTGCGCACCGCACCACCCGCACACCACGCGCAGATGTCGCGTGGTGGACACCTCCCCTGGGGGGAGTCAAGTACAGTCGGCCCGTATCGCAAGGACGCGCGATGAGGATGCAAGGGCCTTGGAGGGCCCTGTTCACGCTGTTCGAACGAGGTTGGCTAGCGAAAGTCGCTAAGGATGGGCCGAAGGGGCAAGGATGCAAGGGTATCCTTGGGAAGGTTGCCCATCCTTACTACGCAGGTTAGCTGTAGTGCCGATGCCGCTGCTCCCCAGACCTCTCCCGGGCTGCGTTCGGACCAGAATCTCCAGGCGAACCCGGCAGTGGCGACGAGGGCCGCACAGGAGGCCCGAAAAGGCGAAAACGAGGCGAGGGCAGCTGTATACTGTATCGGCACCCCTTCCTCCTCTGAGATCCTGGTAGCCCTGGTCATACCACGCCTGGATCATCTCCCCGCGCCAGATCACGACCTGGAAGAACGCGTCCAGCAGCAGAATGACGTTCGGCTTCAGGGAGCCCGCGTCCAGCAGCACCGGCTGCGGCGGTCCTTCGTCGAAGGAGTACTGCAGCAGCGCGGGCTGTATCATGACGAGGGAGTTCACGCAATTCTCGCGGTTGATTATAGTCCGGTAGTCCGCCACAGTGCCTTGTGCACGTCGGGACGCGTTAGAATGCACATCTGCTGCCTAGTAGGGTTGCTTTGGGACCTCAGTGAACCTCAAAGGACCTCAAAGGCCCCCGAGAGGCCCTGAGGAGGCATCAGGACGCTCCAACACACGCCTTTCACTCAACCTCCTTCACTCTGCGCTGCTGCCTTGGCGCAGTGGCGGGGTTTGCCGCAGACAGCTGGATACGCCGTCTCGTCGGGGCTCGCGTTGAAGGTCTGCAGGAAGCTACCGCGGCGGAGGTGGTACATGAACTGCGGGAAGACGGCGAACTCTGGGCTCATCTGGAACGAGCCCGGCTCGTCCTTACGGTAGTCGGCGAACTTCGACACCAGCCTGATCAGCATCCTGTCGACCCATCTGAGCACGTCCAGGGGGTCCTTTAGGGAAACAAGAAGATACCCATACCGCTCTTCGATGGGCCTCTTCTGGGGTGCGCTCTGACAGGACGTCGGGGCGAATCCAGCCGTGGCGACGAGAGAAGGGTAGCCGTATCGGTACCTCTTCCTCCTCTGATCCTCGTTCTCGCACTTGAAGACGGCGTACCGCGCCATGAGCACCGCCGCGGCCTCCTGGTCGAACCCCGCGGCGATGTCGCTCATGCTCGAGTCCGAGGTCTCCGTCATCTGGTGGGACACCGTCGTGACCCTCAGGCGCTTGCGCCCCGAGGGGTGCAGGTAGCACGTCTGGAACTGGAGGAAGGACTGCCGGTTCTGCCCTGGGCTCGGCTTCTGGCCTTCGCCCGTGCTCGTGACGTCGAAGAAAAAGCTGATCGACGTGTTCTTATCGAGGGAGCCCACGACCCACTGGCACGTCCCGCCCTCTCCTGCGGTGCCCCACAATACAGACACACACACACACACACACACACACACACACACACACACAAACCGCTGGTGCCTCCCTCCCCCCACCCCTCCACCCAGCTTCTCCTCCTCCTCCTCCTCCTCCTCCTCCTCCTCCTCCTCCTCCGCCTCCTCCTCCACCTCCTCATCCTCCCCCTCATCCTCCGCCTCCTCCTCCTCCCTCCTCCTTCTCCTCCTCCTCTTCTTATTATTACTGTTATTATTGATAGTAATAATATTCTTATTACTATGATTCGTCGGATTCGTCTTCTTCATCTTAGAATTACTCGTGTTCATATTCTTCTTAGTATTAATACTATTATTCTTATAATATGGCTATTCCTCCTCCTACTCCTTCTCCTCCTCCTCATCATCATCATCGTTTCCTCCTCCTCTTCCGCCTCCGCCATCTCCTC